ATTAACAAACGAACAGAGACGTAACAATAATAATAAATTAGCTAAAAGGTCAATGGACGTTATGGTCAATTGTAAGGTTAAGAGAAAACAGCCCCTAGAAAGTCCTCCATGTAGAATTTAAATGCTGCTCGATGTGCAGCGACACTGCCTCAGATAACTGCAGAAACCCCAGTTATTCCATCCTTCTCTTACTATACTTTTATTTATTATTTATGTAACGCATCTTAATCCAAAAATACGTAACTCCTTCATACTCCACAGTAAACACTTGTCGCTAGAACTCCGTTTATTATAATCAGCATCTACACAAACTAATTTGTGATAAAATAATAATAATAAATAGCGAAAAGAAACACGATTCGCAAGACTAGTAAAAACACGTTAAAAGCCAATAATTATCTTTGGCACATTAAATAAAATAATAAAAATTTATACCCAAATCTTAAAAATACCAAATTACTTATCTTACACAATCATCTTAGAACAAAGTAACCTTATCTTATGATATACTTCAAAAATAATAATATTTAATCTTTCTTTTTTCTTGCGCCCTTTTCAGTAGCAGTTTTTTTAGGTTCTTTCTTTTTTCGACTTTTTCCTTCGTCCTTGCCGTTAATTTCTTCAAGTTTTTGTAATGTGTCGGTTCTTTGAAGTTTACCTCCCCTTTTGGCCTTAATTTTAGTTGGCCTTGGGGTCGCTTCTGTATCAGACTTTGAGCCCACATCATCAAAAAGTTTCTTTTTAATGTTGACCTCTGTATCCGAAGAAATCTTCATCTCTTGCTTGGTTTTAGGCTTAGCTGTCTTCGCTTTTTTTGATTTTGGTTCCAATGTTTTCTCTTTATTTTTCGTACTATTAGTTTTTTTAGGCTTAGGTTTTTCTTCGGGAAGAGCTTCGTCAACAGATTTGCCCATTTTGACTCCCTTGGTCTTTTTTGCGTCGGTTGTTTTAGTCTTTTTGGTAGCATCGGGCTTTATTTTATTGATCTTCTTATACTTTGTATTGTCAACCAAAAATCTACCAGTTGCACCCACCATGTCTGCAGACTTTTTAGGTCTAACCAATACACCTTCCTTCATTCCCTTATCTAAAGCTTTTTTCACCATAAACTTGACTTTGCTTTGGCCAATCTCAGGGTATTGCCCTAACAAACAGAAAAACAAGACAAAATAATACACACAAGTAAACAACTTGTTCCGAAATACAGAACCTTTTAAAAATAACGTGTCCTGCGCTGGCTATAAAAGAAAGTTCATTTTCAAGATTCAAGTCTAATATATAGAAAGACTAAAAACTGTCAACAAGACAATGGTAGTCTTGACATTAAGATAGGACTAACTTTGTTAACATAACAGGTTCAAGATGTTCATGAACGATTGTTACACTTTCCAAGGAATGGTTTTCAAGCTTATTCCTTGCTTTACAAGGTAACCGACACACGCGTTTGTCACTTCTAAAGATTTAGAAAGTTCTACATTTTATGCTCACCGTCATATTATGGATTGTGATACAATATTCTTGAATGTTTTCTACTGACACGAATACAATGATTTTGACGAGATATTTCGAATGTCATTAGCTTGAATAAAACTGTTTTGTTTTTACTGGAACATTGTGCACGATGAACCTTCTAAAAGTTAGCAATTCTAACGTCAGGCTACATTACGTATTCGCTCGACTAAATGACTTTTCAGTACACAAATCTACCTTCTTCTTGACGTCAAAGTGGTCACCAACATTTCTGAACTTACCTAACATCCATGTCTTGATGGCTTGAACAGAAACACCCTTCTTATCGCCTATCAAATATAACAACAACAACAACAAAAATTAAGAACATCAAATCAGAATATAATTTACAGTCCTTCCTTTAAACATAAGCCACCCATAAATGTCTAGTCTATAGTACCCGGAACATAAAATAATAGACATCAGTAGAGAAATTTTCCAATTACCAAAGCTTTTAATTTTTGTTTCTAGTCGACTCATTAAAAACTAAACAGGAATAAAAAAAACGTTAATAAAATCCTGTTGTTCTAATAAAAATTAAAAGATAAAACTTAACCCTGTCTGGCTAAAGCTGGATACTGACCCTTGTTCTTACATTCACTTTATTTCACTAGAAATAAAGTCAGCAAAGATCCTGTTAGAAATAATAGTTACAACTTATTCCAAGGATGTCCCTCTAACAAATCTGATGTAGTGCCTTTATTTTATACATTTGGTATGTGAATTGAAATTCATGTACCTGAATACAACAAATTCTTTAGTTCTGTATATTAAGGGATATTAATACACACACACACACACACACACACACACACACCACGGCCAGCATTGTTACGGAAAGTTAATGTTTTCAGTAGTACAATCAAAAGAGACAAATCATAGTCCTCGTGGGCGCTTACACCATTAATATACAAAGTTTTAAGGCCTGTTTTTCAGTTATGCTAGACACTTCCTCGAGATAGTTGAAAAAACTAATTCAATCATCTTGATTATTCCATAATATTACACACACACACACAATATCTAATAGGACGTTAAAATAATTCCTTTTGAGAGGATGCGCTGGAATGAGAGTTCAATCACGTTCATTGATAAAGGAAATTTAAGAAATATAGGAGAGAGGAAGTATGAACAATATTATATATGGCATTTGAGTCAGTTTGAGTTAACATTTAATATGTAGCATTATAGGCCTATCTAGTTATAGATTATTAACTACACATCTTACTACTAGTACATCATATATTTAACCTCATACAAAAAAGAAATGTATGGAGAATTAGAATGTCGTGTGTGAAAAAGCTAACATTATGCCTAGCCCATAAAAAAAATTATGCCGTCTGCCATAAAAAAGAGAATACGTGAAATGAGTAAAGCTTACATTACGATACTTATTGTGTACAATGAGATTAAAGTCAAGTCGGTATAACTGGTAGAGAGCTTGCATGAGGTGGAAGATGGGTTGACCAGGATTAGTATTATTATTTTATTAGCATTATAATAGTGTTACGTATCTGCTTGTTTGTTAATTTCCCGTAGAAATTCTTTCCGATAAACTTCA